GATCTTACAAAGCTTCAAACGACGCGTCGACTATTAAATCAGTCGTCGACGAAATCGTCGACGTAATCGTGACTAGTCGACTAATCGTGGCAGCCCTACTGTCCACTATAAAACACTGAACAGTGTGCTGAGGAGGGGCTGATATTAACCATTCAGCCGGCATGATGCCGACAGGATACAATCAATAAGCCACAACAGACTGACTTCAGGAGCAGCAAACGCAGAAGAAGGAGGATAATGAAGAAAGTGCAGATGTGCACCTAGAGAGCAGCTGTTGGACCTTCACTGAGGGCCATCTGAAGCTCCGCCCACACACGATGGCATTGATTATTCAAGGCTAACGAGTGTTTTTACACTGGAGACACAAAACATTGTACCACCGAGTTTGAAAGTAGAAGTCTGAGAGGAGTTTGTCTCACAGCTGCACTTCATTAACACAAATGAGCCAGATGTTGACTGACTCAGAACAGCAGCATGAAAACATGACATCACAGCTAACCACAACATAACAAGCATGTTTAGGACTGATTTGCATCCCTGTGCCGAACACATGATAGCAGAGCATAAGAACAACTTGTTCCAAGTGTTTTGTCTTTGTGTTTTCTCTTCTATAAGGATATTGAAATACTTTATATTTTACATCAATCAGATTAATTATCTGGTGTTAAAATGTTAAAAACATGCTCTGGCATTTTAAAGTTGTTAATTCAACTTCCTGAAAGTCAAAAATATAGAAACTGAGCTCGTCTTTGACATCCTGCAGTAAAATAGACGGAGCTGATGCCATGACTTAAATAAAGTATTTATAAGGAGTCACTACTACCTCCTTAAGTAAAGGTTACGCTGACTTGTTGCGCCATCTTGTGGTACAAAGTGGTATTGCATGAAAGCACAGCCCAGCCTTATTGCGCTCTAGTTGATATCTCGTCAGCACAACACACAGATGTTGTGAACATAAAGTCACAGCAGTTTTTGGGACTTTAAATTACCACAAGCATATTCATAATATTTTTCCTGACAGGTGTTTCAGGACCCTGACATCTCACCTGTATGGGTTCCCGTAGCAACCAGATTGTTATCACTCCCCCTTGGTGCCTTTCCCACATTTTTTGCAAGCGTGCGACGTCTCCGCGGCGTGCGTTCCCATGTGGTTCTTTAGCGTCGCGGCGTATTTAAATCGTTCCCCACAGGTGTTGCAGTGGTAAGGCTTCTCACCTGTGTGCGTTCTCATGTGAACAGTTAAGTTGCTACTTCGACTGAAACTTTTGCCACACGTTTCACAGGAGTACCATTTTTCACCTGTGTGCGTTCTCATGTGAACTGTCAGATTCCCGCTCTGAGTGAAACTTTTCCCACAGATTTTACAGGAATACGGTTTCTCACCCGTGTGGATTGCGGCGTGTTTTTTAAATGCGGATAAGTTGGTGAATCTTTTCCCACAGGTGTTGCAAGCGTACGGCTTCTCACCTGTGTGGGTTCTCATGTGAACCAACAGAGTCGCGCTGTGCCTGAAACATTTCCCGCACGTTTCGCAGGAATACGGCTTCTCGCCTGTGTGGATCGATGTATGCCTTTTAAGTGCCGATAGGTCAGTGAATCTTTTCCCACAGGTGATGCACAGGTGCGACTTCTCACCTGTGTGATTTCTTTCGTGATATTTCATGAAATAAATCTGATAGAATCTTTTTCCACAAGTGC